ATGCTGCTGATTCTTGTGAAGGTGCCCTTTCGCGCGACCTTGAGGCCTGCGCAAGTCCTGCTAAAAGACCACGTCTCATGTCTCCTTCCACCACCGTACATGGACTTCCATTGACTGAATGCCAGGATTCGGAGGTACGTTTTTGACACTTGAATGATAATTCGCTAGAACCTTCGCGATGGTAGCTTATTAAATTGGCTACTGCTCTCCGTTCTCGAGTTGTATTTCTTGTTTACTTATTTATAATTGGCCAATTTAACTTCGCTGCTGCCACTTTCGAAGCTCTAAGAATTTTTCTCATAATGGGATTTTGCGAACTCCAGCCTGTTATTCACACGGCGGTTCTCTACTGTCTTTTTAAAACCTCGCCCTTCCCCGTTGCACTCTCCGTACACCCATCAGTTGTCGTGTTCTCAAAATGCGTCCCTTCCTACTCTCTTTTCACTGGGCATATTGTGCGTATCCTTGTTGTCCTAAGTCCCTCCTGGTCATAAAAAATCGTTCCTAAACGTAGGCTTATACGTCATCATCTTCCAGTCCAAATGTGGGTCATTAGGTTAACTCCTTACACTTGTCGAGTAAAATGAACTGTCACGTTAACTTTCCTATTTACTAAATTACAAGAATTGCAATTTAGACCTTTTGAGACTCGTTGCATACAAGATTGTGTTGTGAAATTCATAAAATTAGGCACTAATTTCCTTCGACTTCGTGGTCCACCAGGTAAAGTACCACTTCCTCAATTTACCACGCGTTTCACATCAAAAACGCTTATTGAATTGATTTAAGTAGGCAATTATGTTTAAGTAACTTAATCATTTAATAGCATTTTTTGCATTTGCGCAAAATTTGTGCTCAAGACAACTGCGAGGTTAGGTAATGTAAATGTTTATCATGTGAACAGCTGATCGAAGTTCCAGTCCCTGGCGTAAGGTTGAGGTTTAGGTCTATAATGGCAAATAGACCAGAAATTGTGATTGTACTTTTCCTGCCATCAAAAATTTGATTATTGATTATTAGCCCCAACGAGAGCACCATGGTAATCACGACCCACTCCTGTGTTGCAGCAGCAGGGGAAGGAAGCTAGTAGATGTCATACAGAAACTCAGATGTCGTCAGAGTCCCCGACGAACGGCCGGTCCCGAGGCCTGTGCGCACGTCCTTCCACTGGGCGGTGATGCGGGCGCGAATTTAGGTGTCACGTGAGGGTCATTCATTGTCAATTTAGTAAACTCACTGAATGCTTGTGGAGTTTATGAACGTCTGTGATTGATTGTCCTAGATGCTGCGTGCGCGCATTTTCTGGCCCCTCGGGAACCGTAATCACAGCGCGACGTAAGTACCAGGGGCGGAATATTTATACGCGCACGAGGCGCTACATCGGTATTAGCAGTAAACGCCCAGCATCAGCACAACGATGAAATGTCCGTCCGTCCTGTGATCGATACGGACCGGCTCCTGGTACCTCTATGTGACTAGATAAATAAAGGTAAAAGAAACCTGCTTTCGATAATTAGAAGATTAGTTTTTCTCCTTTGAGTACCAAAACATTCAGTAGCGCTGGCAGCTGACACTTCATCTTGTGAAGAGGATTTTTAAGACGTTATGGAGGTCCTTGTCCTTTAAAAGTTTGCACTTTTTACTTCTTGCTAGGACGGCAATTGTTTTGTTTGATTTCCTGATGAGTACTTACTTACTTGTACTTGTTACGGCTGCGATCATGACTGATCTAGCCG